TACCCATTCCCACCTGGGTGAAGTGAGGAAAATTCGTGTGAAGTGCCTTTCCCAAGGACACAACGTCGGGCCCTTGACGGGATTCGAACCCACGACCTTACGGTTGCGAGTCCGAGAGCCTAACCACTAGGCCACCGACGCCACAAATCTACAATATTCCGGACTCCATAAGAAATAAACAAGTATGTATAATGAGAGCAAACAAAACAACAGAAAATAGAATCAGATATAGAAATGAGAAAGAAATACTGGAAGTGGATTGAACACACCTTGAGGTGTGTAGAGTGGTAGGAAGGCGGACATGCTGTCATATTAAAAATACGTATCCCTTGATGGCGTTGTGCTTTCGAATGCTAAACTATTCCTTCTATTTTTCTCTTCTACTTTCTGTTTTAACATTTTTGGCTCATATTAAGGCTTTCCATAGCAGAGGTTGGAGAGTTTGAAAATGATAGTGAGCTCGAAATCACTGACACAGGTGACCATAGAGCTGTAAGCTATAGATGGGGTATGCATTCATCAACACCAGATTGCCACACACAGTAAACACATAATATTGGCTGCATGCTGGTTGGTTACACAACATTGCTCATTTCTTGACGACAAGCACACTGTTATAGACTGTCTTCTATTGGGTACCTGGGAGCGTTCAAAGAATAGAAATATCAAAATCGCAACAGAGACTCTGTAATTTTTTTCAGCATAAAACAATATTCATGATAGAGTAAAGCTTTCACCCTATACCACCCCCCCCCCTCTTTAAAAAAATGATCACGATTTCTAAAAATAACAGATTACTGCTAGAATCACGTTCTCAAAAGATAAAAGGATTTTAATCACGATCAGATTTATCTAAATGTTCTTTATGTGTTCATGTACATAACAGGAGTTGATGACATATTGTTTTCTTCATGCGTCCTTCACGATAATGAAATATCATACGCCCATTGCCGGGCAAGTTCTTTTATTTTTTAAACTATGATCGGAAACTCGAAGATGAAGGCTATTTGCTTCTTTTTATAGGCCATTAGGAAGCTACACAGGCAAATAGGCAGATAAAATGGATTTACGAAGGGCATCTAGTACTCGCTGGAAGAGAGAGGCTATCTATTTTGTTTGCATCTAAGCTCATCGACATGTTTAGTGAGCAGGCCGCTCGTTGATCTGTTTGGCGAGTGCGCGCGCACGTAAATGTTTGATCTTGTGTGTTTATGTACGCTCGCGTGCACCGCTTGTGAGTATTTATACGTGTGTGGGTGAGTGAGGTGTGTATGTGTGTATGTGTGTGTGTGTGTGTGTGTGTGTGTGTGTGTGTGTGTGTGTGTGTGTGTGTGTGTGTGTGTGCGTGCGCAAGCATATTATGTTTATGTATTTGT